CCATAATTAAAAATTGAACAGAAGTTCTTTTATAATCAATTTATATCTTATATAAACATATATTTACAATTTCTAAAATTTAAATCTAATTTTTTGGAATTCTTAGTTTCATTGATCTTATTTTGATTCCTAAAAAAGGAATTATTTGGATGAATTTCGATTTTTGTATATAAAAATTGTTTTTCAAAATAATAAATAAATCTATAACTTAATATATTCTTATATCTTTTAAATAATTTCCAAAATCCGTCTTATATCAACTTAATAAATATTAATCAATACCATTACTATTACTACCTGCTAGATCTGTAATATAACTTTTCAGACTACGAATTCATAGAATTTCTTTTTTCTTTTCAATGATTATACTAATTTTGAAACCCTACGAACTCGTAGGCTTCAAATTCTTTCTCCCCGACGCCTAGTACTAGTATAATAATAATACTAATCCTAATAATCCTAACAATCCTGATAATCCTGATAATCGTAATAATCCTAATAATCCTATTAATCCTATTAATCCTATTAATCCTATTAATCCTATTAATCCTATTAATCCTAATGATAATAAATCTGATTCTCTATCTTTATATAATATAATGTATTTGGGGCCCAGCTCCCAAGCCCCGGATCCTCGCTACGCTCAAGTTTTCATTTTCGTATTAAATTTAGATTAGCTTTCTAGTTTTCTCATTAGATTTATGAAATTTATTAAATTTATTAGATTTATTAGATTTATTAGATTCATTAGATTTTTTAGATTTTTTAGATTTTTTAGATTTTTTAGATCTTTTAAATTTTTTAGATTTTTTAGATTTCTTAAATTTTTTAGATTTTTTAGATTTCTTAGATTTTTTAGATTTTTTGGATTTTTTAGATTTTTTAGATTTCTTAGATTTTTTAGATTTCTTAGATTTTTTAGATTTTTTGGATTTTTTAGATTTTTTGGATTTTTTAGATTTCTTAGATTTTTTAGATTTCTTAAATTTCTTAGATTTTTTAGATTTCTTAAATTCATTATAATTCCTTTTAAATATATGTATTTGATTTTTTATTAAATTTCTTATTTGATCTTTAATCTAGATTCTTTTTATAAATTTTAATACAAATTTCAATGTAGAGTGATTTTGAAAAATATCTAAGGCAATAGTACCTCAAAAATCATAACCTTCGCTTATAAATATATCTTCAATCAGATTTTCAAATATGCTTTTTTTAAATTCAATAAACAGATTTTATTATCACTATAAGGTTCATTTTCAAACTAATAATAATGTTTCCAAGCTGTCATTTGTTTTAATCTAATTATTTCTTTTTTAATTGAATTTTCTTTTCTTTTGAAATTGTGTATTAAATTGAAAAGCTCTTATAGATTTTTCATTAAATCAAAACAATCTTACTTCAATATCAGTAGTGATTTATGATCTATCAAAAGAAAGCTTGGATATCTCGATTTACATATTCCGTATATTTGTAAAGATATATAATTATATAACATAAGTACAAAAAAAGCTGAGTTTAGTTTCTACGAATCCATCACCTAAAAAAAGATTTTTGATGATTTCTCTAAATTTTTATTAAAAGATAAACGACAAAGGATTCAATAATTAGAACAAAAGATTCATATTTGATAATCTTTAATTCTAATATCAAATATGATTCAAAATCAAATTTCTTTTAAATATAAAGATATAAAAGGTTTTTTTGAATTATATATTTTTGAATCTAAAAAAATACATCATTTTTGATATGATTTATATCATCGAGTTTAATTATCTTTATTAAAATCTTTAAATTAATAATAATTGTAATATGAATAGAGCATTGAATATAAATATTGAAAAGTATAAAGAATACTATAATATTTATAAAATAATAAGAATTATAAAATTAATTATAAAGCATCTAAATTTCTTTATGAAGATTATATTAAATACATTTTTATAAAAAATAATAAAGTTTTTGAATAAAATTATAAGATTTGTAATAGTTATACATTTATTTTGAATTTTATATATAAAAATATCAAATTGTTTTTTTATAATATTCCATATATTCGAAATATTATTTTGATTAAAATGATTAATTTTAAAAGCAAATATATAAATACTTATTTTTTGCTTTTTTATTTTTCACTTATAAATAATTTATTAGAATTTATTAAAAAATTCATTAGATATATCAATTAAGAATTAAACAATTAAAAAAAAATCTAAAATCATAAGCTTGTTGTTGAATAATATTATTATAAAAACAATTATTATATTAAAGAAAAGACTTTATAGAGAATATAAAAAGTTAATTTTATATAACAAAATCAAAAATTTCAAGATATTTTGGTTTCGAAATATTATATTGATGTGAATATATTTAATAATAATAGTTGTTTAGAGAATATAATAAAGATTAGAGTATATTCTAGAGGTCAAACAGCTAGAATAATAAAGCTGTAAAAATAAATATTTATGTTTCAAATAAAATTATATATCCATATTATTACAAATATTAATAAAAAGCTTCTATAACTTATTCTTATAAATTCTCTATAAAAAAGCTTCATTTATTGAGAAATGATTCTTTTTTTATTCTAATGTATAGTAGTAGTAGTAAATTCATAATCGATTCGATCTATATAGCTATATTAAGATTATGTGATACACCTATATCTAATTTTAATCGAATGAAGTAAATGAGAAAACGAAATAAAATCTATTTTTTAAATTTATTTTTTTAACAAGACTTTCGAACAATTTTCTGAATAACTTTCTCAAATATTTTAAATTATTTATCTTATTCAAAACTATTTTGTTTATAAATCTTTTAAAATCTCTAAAAAAAAATTCTATACTTCTTATCTTATCATATTAATTTCCCTCTTTTGATTTAATTTCTTCTAAAATATTAGAAAAGTTATAAATAATTTTAATATCGTATTATATTTCTTTCAAAAAATCATCCTTATTTTTAAGCTTTTCGAATTGTTTTGGAGAATTATTATTTTATTATAATTCATAATTCATTATTGATGAACCTTATATTTATTTTCTTTTGTAACATATTAATAATATATAATTTCTTTTTAATATCTGTTATTTCCTATTTCCTCTTATTTTATGAATGTTATACTAACAATAAGAGAATCTAATCTTTTAATATAGAATATGATAATTATATAATTGATTTCAATTTGTATTTAATATATTAGAATTTGAATGACATTGAAATAATAAGTCTAATGATATTAGAATATTATTGTTTTTAGTAATATATATTAAAAGATGATTTCTTTTAATTACAATTAATAATATATTATTGGTTATATAAGGTAATAGTTATCAAGATTAGTATTTTGTAATAATATTATATATCTATATTAAATATATTATAAATATTTCAAAAGACCTAGCTTTCTTTTTTTAAAAAAAATGGATGTAATAATAGAACATTAATATTTATATTAATATATCTTTTCTAAAAAATCAAACTTGTAAAAATAAAATCTTTTTGAAAAGCTTTGATATATATATATATGTATATATTTTCGAAATCTTTTGTTTATAATAGAAATTTTTCTATAAAGCTTTTAAGTATTAAAAAGTTTGAATTATTATAAAATTTCATATATTAATTTCATATTATTATAATTATCATATTATTATAATTATTTTTTATTATAATTGATCTATGAATAATACCAATACCAAAAATAATAATAATAAGATAATAATAGAATAATCATAATAATAATAATCTACATAACAATCATCATACTAATATAATAATAGTATCTTTCGCTAGCCTCTTACTACGCGCTACGAAGCGCAGCGTCACGCCTAACTGCAAAGCCTAAATCTTCGAAATCGTTCTAAACTCAATCGTCAAATCTTCTAACCTCTTCTCCCTCGTCTCCCGCTTCTAAATCTTCGAAATCTCTAAACTCTTCTCACTTTTATCCACTCCTTCCTCTCCTCTTTTCTTCTTTCTTTTCCTATCCCTTTCTCTTCTCATTCTTTAGTTTTTATTACAAAATTTAACCTTTTTAAACATAATCCAAAAACATTTATTCGATTCTTTAAAATTTTTCAATCTTTAATCTTTTTTAATTTTTTTTATTATTCATTATTTATTTTTATTAATTGTAACTTATTAATAGAAAAATTATATTATTAAAAAGCTTTTAATTAATATAATTCTAACATCCTTTTTAATTTTAATTTATAAATTGTTTATTTTCGATTTATTAATTGATTTATTAATTTTTAAATTCAAATATTTTACTGTTTATATATAAGATATCTATACTTTTTTTTTGATCAATTAGCTTTTAGTTATAAATTGTATTTTAAATCCTATATATTATGGATTTTTAATATAATATATTTATAGACTAATCTCTTAATCGTTGATTATTACTACGCTCGAGTCTTTACTATTATATTATTAAAATACTTCTTATATTTTTAATACTATTATCTATTAGGATTAACTACTTTACCGCTAGCCTATAAAAGCGTGGAGTATTCCGAATACGTTCGAAACAGTAGATCTATTATATAAACCCTATCAGGTGATCGCTCCCTGATATTATCATTAATAATTATCTAAAATTATTTGAAAATAAAAATCACAATTTAACTATACTTTCTCAAAAAGCATGTGTTCTAATGATTTTTAGACTACTAATAAGTTATATTCATCTTATTTCAAGTAAATCTTCACGTAAAGAAATTTAGTAAAGTTTTCATACAAAGATTACTTTAATTAATTATGGTTCCTTTCGTAATATTCAAACGATCTCACTTCTATTTTTGTTTCGATTTCAATTGTAAATGGGGACAACAGCTGCCTACAAGAGATGAAGCTCCGATCAAGATAAATATATATGTATATACATATATATTAGTTTCTATCATAGGTCTAAGATATTACCAAGAAATATGACAATCTAGCTGGTAGTCACAGTAGAAATGTTCAAGAAACGAGTGGAAGGCACAGCGAAGAAATAAAACTCAAAGCATATATATGATCGTTCGTTCTTTCACGCACTGTACGGGGCGGAGAAGATAATGATTATATAACAAAAGCTCTTCTTTCCGTTGAAAGTAGATCTCAATGAGGTGGTAACTTCCACGATCTTCCAGATTCCTCAATTTCTTTCCAAGAGTCTCAAGAATCTCGGGCGGGGCTCTACGTGAAAACTTGTCAGTCGTTGATCGACTTTGGCCTGTAGGTGCCGTCATGAGTTGAGATACTTACGACTATGATTTGGACATATTTGAACTTCAAGTCACCTGGTCCAGTCTTTACTATCTCGTATCGTGCTGCCCACTCTTGCATATTTACTGTATCATCAGATAATTTATATCCAACGGTCCCGTAACACATCAGGTTCATATCATCTGATCCAAAGGTAAAAATCCTCACGACTGGATGCTCACGATGCGGAACATTAGCGAAAAGCTTTTTGCGAAAAGATATGATTGCTACATAACGAAGTTAATCAATGACCAAAATGACTTAGGACGAAGTATATACCGTCGCGCCCCACATTTTGTTCTTCTGCAAATTCATATATGCCATCGTTCGAAAATAGCTCTGCGAATTCTTGTTCGTCTTCAAATCTGTTTAGTAAATGCCCAACATGTACAATGAATAACATACTTGCTTCATGATTATTGTGCGAAGATGCTGCGTTAGAGAGCTGGAAATACTTTTCTAGGAATGCTTTAACCTCCGAGGAAACATTGTCTGGGAAAGCGCCTGGGAGAATGGCCATTTTTCAAGCTATGTAACTTTTCAATATTGAGGAGAATAAGCTCGAAAGCCGGTTGGGACGACGAGATTGAGAATTGAGAGTTGCCTAGGTAGTATTTATGTAGACCCTTACATGCTCACATTTCGTCAACACCGACTTTCCGTTGCAATATCTATGCCATATTCTGACCGAGGAACCCATGCATCATGTTGATGGGTTCCAAAATCTTGTACAAAAGGAGAAGGAGAAGGAGTCTCTTGGCATTGATAAAGGAATTGTCGAAGGAATAGCTGAATACTGCATGCATATAATCGTGTGCAACTGCCAGAATTCAGATTATATTTCGGACTGTCTTCCTCCGGACATTTGTATTGGGACAAGCGATTGACAGTATTTTTTTAATCGAGTAGGATAATGTTGATCTATTCGATGAATTTTGAGTATCGATATGTATTGATCGGTGTCAACATAATAAAAATAAAAATTCCTAATCAGTGATATAGATAATCCTTCATGACTGATGGATAAGCACATCAAGAGCTTCTTATATGGATTAGAAATTGTGTTTGGAATCAAACTTCGAACTTTCTATATATTGGCGAGAATTGTGTCTACTTGTAATGTTGAGATGAGTGACTTTTGCAGCAATGGTATCGTGTATGTAGAATGCTACAGACGTGTTTGATATCGAGTTCTACTGCTCGAGTGAATTAGCTTGAATCAATACTATCCGCAGAAATACAGAGCTAGCTGGTGATAAGATTGAACATCAGGTCCAGAATAGATTATTTTCAGATCCCCTTAAGAAATGAGATGACTCAACCGGATTTCGCATGGTAAATCATTCTTTCATGTATTTTTGATGTACCTGTTAGCTTGACGTCTTTTAGTCTAAGAGTATAATATTATTGAAGATATTTAATATTAGAATAATATTAAATATCATTAACAAAATATGAAAATACGGACTTTTGATTGATATAAAATAAGCCGAAATATACGAATAAGGTTATTCCTAGATTTTATTAATATTATCGAATATTTTGATCTTTTTATATTTTTAAATATTAATATTATAGAACTATTGAATTACTAAAGAAAAGGGTTTATTGAATTAATTAATTGAAATAAAGAGGAAAGCTTTAATAATCTTATTATTAATTTTATATATTTAGTTAGTTATTATATGTACTGAATCTTTTAATTATTTAAACTTTATTAGGATTAGATTTTTATATTTCAGTTTTCCTATATATCTTCGTAGATATCTATCTTAAGTGATATCCATAGTAATGAGTATTCAATTGTTCAATATGTACTATCTGTTGTATTAAAAGCTTCATACACGCCACCGTTTTACTATAGTATACTATTGCCTACACTGTCTAGAAAAATACTCGATCTCTGAGTACACGCAAGCCTTAGCCCAATTGGCTGATATCTCCATCCTTTGGCCAATCACTAATACTTTCCAAATCGATGTTTGGTGCATTTTCAGGAGCTTATGATGGCGAAAGCAGGCATAGATTAATTTCCTTCCGCCAACCACTTATATTGTAAGGGAGGAATCAATTCTGCACATCATGTAAAGGCGAGCTCTTTCATGTTAACAACAATATTCGAGTTCCATAGACTCTACTAGATACTATTCAAGACAGCTTAATTATGAAATCATATCGCTTGCACAAGATTTTTGTTTGTACAACTCAGCACCGCTCGAACTCTTACGATAGACTGGGTGACCCTTCTGTATGCAGTGGCAAATTTCGAATTCGACAGGCTACTTCAAGGTACCACGATCAGTAAAACGTCTTAAATCTTTACTTTCAGAATGTGCCAGACTGTACGCCACCACCTCTGTCTCAATTGAGGGATTGCATTTCAGTTGCCTGCAGGTTTTTAGGGTTGACTAAAAAATCGTTGCCTGTCGTTTGAAATGCGAGTGTTAATCACGATTTTTTACACACAACCCGCGAGCATACAAGTAGTTGAAAGTACATATCCACAAAAGTTTGTGATACTCATTGTCTAGCTCATTGCTGGGTGGCTATGTATAGGGACTTGACCTAAAGCCGAGAACGGGCTTTTACACTCCCAAGTATTCAGTCAGTTTGGCGAAATCCGCTCACGCCAAATAAGATAACATATTATCACTAACATAACGAGTCCTTTGATTTTGTGAGATAATCTCATCTATCAAGGAGTGATTCTGATTGTGTGGTATGCCGGTGATATCTCACAGTCAAAGCTACAAATGACAAAATACCCAGAGCGTAGCAGGTCAATAGTCTGATCATCAACAACGTATGCCAATTTTCGGCGAGTTATATCTTGCAGAAGTCGGTCAATATTCTTCCACTTCGCTAGTAGCCTTTCTTTCAAAATGGTGTGCTTTCATTTCTTCATCAGCGTCAGCAAAAAGAACAGAGCCCGCCCCCCCCTTGGTCCTGTCTCATCATTGATAGAAAGATTCTCTGATTTGAAATAGTTCTATCGCTCCTTGGAAAAACGTTTGACCCCGGATATGTGCAGCAATGAGAACTCTGGTTACTGTTCAATTGTTGTGTAGAAACTAGGTTTCCGATAATCTTAATCTTCATGGTGGGTATCCGTCATCTGTCGAAGTCGAGAGCTTGTCAATGATCACCTACCGTACTATTCGGGCTGACCGGAAACGGAGAACTTGCAGATCTGAGTAGAATTGTTCCTCGATGTTATACGATCAATCAACTACACGGGAATAGGCATAGGAGCTGAGAAGTCAGATGTTCTGACATCATTGATGCGACCTACATTGCAGCAACTTTTCATCTGTTGGCAATTTTGGTGGTTTCTCGCATGATGCTCTTTTCGGAAGAATATGTCGGTATTGTACGAGTATAAGTGAACTTTGAGAAAGACCATTAAGCCCAGTGCCCGGTCAAGTACTTATATCAGCGCTTGGCATATCCCACAACAATGTGCAAGCTCGATGATTGGATCGACCACCATCAAGTCCGAGACCAGTGTCACAGTGAGCAATTGAAATTCCTTTTGCTGAATTTAACTCTGCTCGATATGTATGATCCTTCGACTGTTGTAGCGCATAAACTCTCGGCTTATTAACACTGCAAGAATGGCCTCTCTGGGTGAATAGTAGCTCAGGAACTGTATTCCTTAGCACTTTCGATGTGAAGATTACCGACTCCTCATAGATGTCATGACTCCTCTCGCGAGAAGAAGCACGGTAGATAATGATGATGCTGGCTGCTTATTCCTGGGCTGTCAACGCCGAAGAGAAAAGAGGGCTGTCATCAATGGGAAAGATACTGTTGCGTATTTCTGGTGAATGTTTTTGAATTTTTCGTGCTGTATAGAGAAAGAGTGATGTTGTCAACAAAGATGATGCCATCGCCTATGCATGGGGATTGTCTTTGCTGAAAAATAACGATCTGCTATCCTAGGCCTTTCACGACACCAAATTTGTTCTGTAGAATGCACCATTTGAAATTATACCAATTGCAATTCATTTAATGTATACTTCCATAAACTACACAATTCATCAAACTCACGAACTCATCATTAGTATTTTCTCGCGACATAAAATAATTCGATCATAATCCAACTATAGCCGTGTGATGTAGACTAGAGATGCAGCACATCATCCGCATACGATTGATACTGATTCCACTGTATCTCTCACGAATTCTCGAGAATGACCCATGTTGATAGTAGGGACGTTTCATCATTCCCTCAAATACCCGACTTCAGGTTCACAAGGAGACTCGTCTGAACAACAAGCCATCTGTTATCAATTGCCAAGGTTGCATGAGGATGTGCGAGAGAGAACTATAGCACGCGAAAAAGTAAGCCACCCAGAATTCGTATATCCAACTAAATCCATTGTGGCCCCATAAAACCCAAAGATATAATTTGTTATTTCGCACCTCGAATTGCCGAAGTAAGCCTGGCAAAAGTTTTTAGATCATAAGTAACGAAAAGTTACTCCCAACGTAGAGGCATGAATCCTTTATGCCTCCAGGATGCAAGCATCGAGATAGTGTAGGCTTTGAGTCTCTTTCCACGTTGGAGGCTTTGAGGGGAGACTTGCTCTATGAGCCGCTGCAACTTCTGATTTTAAGGGTTGCATAATGACAAGATTTTTGAGCAAGTATTAAAATAAGGAACGAAGAATTGTGACTGTGGTGTCACTGCTTGTAGTGAAGTTTCTAGAAATCCATGAGAAAAGTGCAAATGGAGGGTTCCCTGGGTTTTGAGTTTGAGTTGCGAGAAATCTTGACAAGAGATCTCGACTTTAACCGCACTCGCGCCTAGTTCTTCTCTAGTCTTTCTTCTTTGAATTCGAACCATGGAAAACTTTGCGATTGTGGACACCGGTTTTGGGCGGAGTTTGGATAGGAGAGGATTGATGCGAAGGAAACCAAAGACACTAAGCTCGATAATACTTTTTCTGAACCAACAACTGGTGGATTGTTCATATTGATTGACAGTTTAGAGCATATACGTCAATGTATTATTTGGAAGGCAGCCCTGTGCATAGAAGTCCACGATCAGCCACGGGACATTTGTAAGGAGAGAAAAAAATGAAAGTGTGTAAGGTTTATGAGAAACATACCTAAGCCACTGGAGAGTGACTTGTCAGCTTTAGTAACTTTTGCAATTAGGTCATCACTATTGCCTTGCATCCTACTGAGGCCAGCAACGAGAAAAATGTATATCCAATGAATCAATACTTGTGAAGATTCTCACTGCTTTACAGTATATTTCATCTACTATCGATGGAAGTGATTCTCCCTTGAATCTATGAGGGGGATTTCTGTTAAGAGGAGCACCACGGAGAGAATCGTCAGCGGTGGGTTTCGTGTCGCTGACATGTATGCATATCTAGCAATGACATCGGTACTGCTTATAGCCATTTCGGAGATTGAATATGGGAGATAATTCAAAAGTCGTAAATTTAGAATCTTACACATCTGAACAATAAGTGAACAACTGAGATAATTAAGAAGTGTCTGCCACGTGTACTCCTTCATGGTATTTGAATATCTATCTAAGTAGCTAAATGGCACCGCTTACGGAACTCGATGAGTGTCTCCAGACCAGCAGCATCTCTCAACCACCTCTAGATGATGGTTGCTCAGATTC